AGGGCAGCAGCAACCAGCCGAGGCCGCACGCTCTCCTCTGTGCGAGCAGAAACAACCCGAGTCACGGCCTCTGGAAGGGAGCAGGGAGGAGCAACGCAACCCACGATGGTGCAACAGGACCTGGTGCGTGTCTGCCGCCCACTGAGCTGGGGTAATGCGTGAATTGATGCAAACACCTCCCTGAGAGCTCTCGAAGCAGCCCTGCTTGTCACAGAGGGCTCAGACAGCAGGGCCTGCTGGAGATGACAGCAGCGGGCAGGTATGTGCTCTCGTAACACGGGACAAACCCAGCCCGCAGGGTGAGCCTGCAAGCTGCCAGCTCTCCACAGGGGCACTTCTGTTGGTTCACACCGCCCGGGAGCAGAGCTCAGCTGCGGCCTTTACACCAGGGATGTACACACAGCCCCGTGTGCCATCACGTGTGACCCTGGTCCCACAGACACACGTGCCAACGCCGGGGTGTGCGCCCAGCATCACCAACACAAGCTGCTTTCCCCTCTGCATACAGGCACACACAAACACACACACACCCCTCCTCGCAGCACAGGGAACCTCTGTGCCGTGCCTGAGGCTGAACAGCCCAACCTTTGCAGCGAGGAGAAGGGTTTGTCACCATCCTTTGCCCCAAGGAGCAGCCGTCCGGCCCCCGCAGCTGCCAAAGCTCACTCGCCACCCAATTCCCATCGAAGGCCCCGTTCCATGGGGCTGGTTTGATCACTGGGCTCAACAACCTCCCCCCAGCTGAGGCTTTACCTCCAAGCACGACAAGATCCAAGTATCGAAGATGGAAGCGCTCAGCATCATCTGCTGAAAAGCAAAGGCAACACGCGCCTGGGGAAAGAGACTCTGCGGCTCTTGGGCCCGTAGAGATTCACCGCAGAGCTCAGGGAGCTGCAGCAGCGTGAGCAAGGGCAGGATCCAACCCCACAGCCCCTTCCTTGACTGACGCTGTGCAGCAGCCTTAGAGACTGTCCGCCTGAGGGACACGAGAGCAGAATTCAGTTCTGTCACAGCTGGACTCTGCGATGACGGCTGTTCACAGCAATGAAATGCTGGAGGAGATGCACAACATCCTTTTCACATTGAGTTATTCGCTGGATCCTTAAGCTGTTAGCCCCGAACAACCCCAAATGGCATTTTGGAGCCAGCCTGTCATCCCACCAGCATGGACCATCACCGCCTGGGCAGGGCAGGCGCCCAACTGCAGCAGGATGCCTGCTGGGATGTGCTGGTCCAGCCTGGACTCGGCCCACGGCTGCCTTCTGCCGTTCAGAGCACTGGGAGGAGAATGGGAGCCCATCCAGCACCGCTCAGGCCAAACAAGCACAGCACTGCTTAAAAACAAACAACCCTACACACACACAGTCAGGGCGCATCTGATTCACCTCCCTGCTCCCCAGCTTTGGCTCGCGGTCACATCTCCATCACCTGGAGCGCAGGCACAGCCCTTTTGTTTCAAACAAAAGCAGATTATCTCCGGCAGTCTGCTATTTCCCACAGCAGCAGAAACAACACAGAGAGCAGCAGGATTCAAGGTGCAGCTGTGAGAACCAGTGGCGGAGACACTCCGTCCTCCAGCTTGTGTCTGCCAGCATGCTGGAACTAGTGAATGCCACCATCAAGCCCACAGAGGTAATGGGAAAGCTTGGAGAATTTCCTCTGCTCCTGGAGGGAATCTCAACCCACTAGAAGGCTTTTCCCACGAGCCAAGAGGAGCCAGGGAAGGGCTGCTGGCTCTCAAAGGAGGCTGGGTGGCTGGCGAGAAGGTGGCTGTCACTGGAGTCCCACAGAACCTCCTTCCAGGCTTTGAAGAGCCCAGAAGCGACTTTAAACAACCTGGCACTGCCTAACAGCTGGCTGGGCACCCATCGTCCCCACAAGGGAGGTGCCCTTGGTCCAGAGACCTATGAATGAGCCCCCAGAAAGGCCCAGCAACAGCGAGGGGAAGCCCAGGAGAGGTTGGGGGTCAGGAATGGCATCGACCGAGGCGTTTTTGGGGTGCAGTGCTGGGCATGGGACGCACACTGACCTCCGAGTCCCTGCAATTGGGTTGCTTTTGCTTTGGGTCACTCACACTCAGCCACGGACAGCTGGGGGGGACGCTCCAATGGCCTGTTGCAGGGCAAGAGGCTGTAACATACTCTATGGTTTTGAATTATGGGTTGGTTTTACCCGGCCTCTGCAGCCATCTCATTAAATTTTTTATTCTGTGATTAATTAGCAGAGCTCCTCCAGGCCCACCTTGAGCTGCTCTGCCGTGTGAGCACGGGCTGCTCTGCTGCCCAGCAAAGTAGATCAAAGCTTGAAAGTTTGAAACCTTTTTTTGAAATAATTGGAGACAATTGGTTTGAAAACAGAGCTAGGTTCCTTCAGGGGGGGAAATCAGGCACTGGCAGAGGCCAGGGTGTCCCTTGGTCCCATCAGGGACTAGGCTGAACTCCGGCCACCAAATGCCAACTCAGAGGGGCTGTACCGAGGTGGTGGGCTCCCACAGGTAGAGCCCAGCACGGGGACAGATCAGACCTCCCCTTTAACCCCCGGTTTTGCCACTGACCACGTAATTACGGGTATGACTCTTCTCGCCTTCCGTGGTGCCTGGGTACAATCGCTAAGCTGTTTACGATCTGCTGGTAAAAAGCAAACGACATTATCACTAGGGAAAGTGCTCCAATTCTTCAGGTACAGAGGTCTCCGAGTGGGTGTTATCTGGAAGCACAGTGGAGCGGAGGCGTGCTGGAAGTGTCTGAAGTCTCGGCAGCTGCCTTTCCTGGCAGATTCTGGGGAGAAGCCAGCAGACAGAGAGGGGGTGGGGGGGTGGGGGGGTGGTCACAGCAAGAGATCACAGCTTGGGAAGCCCCCCAGCCCCTGAAATTGGGATAGACATGGAGACAAGCTCCTGGGAGCGCTGCTCAGGGTGGGAACTATACCTGGAAAAGTTCAAGTGATATCTAAGTTTCAAGCTCTTGTAGCACCTTGGCTCTGTGGAGCCCCACCATGGGGAAAAAGCTCCCCCCGCGCCGCAGAGGGACCTGCTGCTGTCTGGGGACGTACCAGGGACTCTTTTGAGTGACCAGAGCTTGGGTTCCACCCCAAAGGCAGCTGACCCAGATCTGCTTCTCTCTACTCTGCGACTCAGGGAGCTCCTTTCTGTCCCTCTCTAAATGCTCGGCACATCCCCAGCTTTGATTACCGACCGTCTCCCCCCAGCCTTGTCCCCCATCCCTGACATCTCTTCATTAAGTCCTAGAGCGGGTTTATTCCCATGACGCTGCTTTGTCTGTCACTCTCTTCAGCCTTTCTGGAGGGAGAAAGCAAAGGATCAGCCTCCAGCTGTGCTGCAGTCAGACAAAGGGAGCGGATTCCTCCTCCCCTTGCTCCAGCTTAACAAAGCCAGCGCAGCAGCACCGAACCCTGAGCCTCCACCAGCGTGGCCTCGCTGCAATAAACGGGGCTCAGGGCTAATGAGAAAGCAAGAGCAGAGGAGCACCGGGCTGTGCTGGGTGTGGGAAAGGTTCTTAAGGACAAAGGAAAACACTTCATTAACATCTAGACGCTCTCAGCCGTGCAGAGGCGGCTGAAATGGAGATCTGCTGTGCCGGGAGACACGGGGTTTGTTCTAGAAGAGGAGAAGGCTCCTTCTTTTCCTCCAAGCATCCTCCAATTTTTACAGTTCAAAGGGATGCTTTATGAGCCTTTTGGGGTCAGGAGGCAGCACCCCCGTGGCTACACACACAGACAGGGGTGCTCTTAGCACCTTCCCTCAGTTCCACCAGACCTTTAATCATCCAGGGGGGCCGTTAGACAGAAACGCTGGACCCTGGCGCCCCGCTCGCCCTCCCCTGCAGCCTCACCCCCCAGCAGATCTCAGCCCAGAGCCCTCCCCAGCTGCACTACGTCAAGACTGGCTCAGGTGGGCTCCGTGCTCTCACTGGGGGCCTGGAGCACAACCCAGCATCGCTGCGGGCAGCTCCTGACCCCAGCCGGGGCCACGGATCTGCGGCAGGGGTTGAGCTCCTTTCCACAGTTCAGTGTTTGCATTTCTAAAACCTTCCAAAACGCGGTGCCAGAAAGAACAAAAAATCATCAGGAGCACAGATGGGGCCATGGCAGGGGATGGGGACAGACACTATCCTCTGTGCGCAGTCAGAAACAAGCAGGGGCTGGGGGGGGACGGGGGACGGGAACAACTGTGAGCAGAGGAGCTGGTGCCTTTCCCCGTTCCCCTGAGCCACGCGGCACTGGGAGCTCAGACAGAGGGGACTGGGAGCTGACTGGGAGCTGACAGGGCTGCACCTCAACAGGAGCCACTCACGTCACCCCTTCCTCACAAATACCGGCAGACGGGAGCGCCCCCCCCGTCCTGCCCTGCCGTTGCCGCGGCCGCCGCACGGTGTCCTCGGTGCTCCGCGGCGGCGGGAGCGGCGCTGGCACCGGGGGGCACCCCCGGGACACCCCCCAGAAACCTCCTTGAAAAAGGGATGGGACCCCTCGGAAAGGAGCGAGTGCTGAGGCAGTGCCAGAGCCCAGCCTACACCCCACCTCTCTCCCTCTGTTCAGTCTGCGTCCCCCGTTTTCATACATCGTAACCCCGACGCAGCCCAGAGCACAGACCTGGCTTCACCGAGGGCTTCTCCGAAGACAACTTTTAATGGTGCAGCTGCTACAAGCTAGAAGTGTAACCTGAGGGTTGGGACAGCCTCCCCCAAACCACCTGGGAAGAACAAAACCAAAGAGAAGCAACAGCCAGGGGCAAAGGTGCTGCCCAGCCCCAGGGTCAGCGTGTTCCAGCCCCAGAGACAGGGCTCAGTTTGGCTCCTTTGTCCCAAGGCTGAATAGAAGATCGGGGGGTATAGGGACAGGATGAGGGGTAACGGGTTTAAACTGACAGAGGGGAGATTCAGATTAGATCTAAGGAAGAAATTCTTCCCTGTGAGGGGGGTGAGGCCCTGGCACAGGTTGCCCAGAGGAGCTGTGGCTGCCCCCTCCCTGGAAGGGTTCAAGGCCAGGTTGGACGGGGCTTTGGGCAACCTGGGCTAGTGGAAGGTGGCCCTGCCCATGGCAGGGGTGGAACTAGATGATCTTTAAGGTCCCTTCCAACAGAAACCACTCTGATCATTAAAGGAGCTAAAAACTAGGTTGGAAGAGTGTAGGTTGAGGCCATCTCTGCATGAAAGCCAACAAAGGCAGGATCTGTGCTAGTCCTGTGCCCAGAGTAAGGTCTGCCCTCTAGCCAAAACAGTCCCTTGGGCATTCATCCCTCCCAGGAGCATTGGCAGCCCCTCACTCTGCCTCTGCCAAAGCGACAGTCGAATGCTACAGGTTTGCAGGCAAAGCCTTGATACGAAGGCAAAAGAATGATCCCCTGAATCTGGCTGCCCCTTGGGAGTTCCCCTTGTTGCAAGCCAAGGGGATCCGTGCGGGGAAGCACACACAGATCCCAGGAAGCTCGAACAGGGCAACAGCAGGACAGTTCTCCCTGAACCACCAGTGACCTGTCTGGACACTCCTAACACCTTCGAACACATCACACCTTTGGTAGAGGGGCAGGCTGGCCACAGGGAGAGACGTGCCCATGCCCTGACCTCCAGAGTCCTTCCCGCAGGCAGGAGACACGACACACCCTGCGAGCAGTTCCTTCGTCTGGGTTTCCCCGTAGATCTCTGAAGGTGACCAGAGAGAACCCCTGGTTAAAGTGCTCCTTCCCTCCGTGGGGCTGGAACGGCCTGGGAGGAAGAAGAGCAGCAGCCCTGGCTGCAGGCTCCTGCTGGCCATGGCTCTCAGCAAGGCTGGCTTTGGCTGCCAGGCTCCCAGGGCTGCTGGGGTGGTGCTCCCCCAGCCTCAGCGCTGCCAGGAGCTGCCCACCACCACCACTGCTGCTGCTGCCGGGGACTGCGAGGGGCAGGGGCCACCACCAGGCAGGGGCCGGCTAGGAATCGGAGAGGCACAGGGCCTCCACGGCACTGCTCAGCCCCTGGCTCACCCCGCCGACGGCCAGCAGGCAGTTCCGGACCACGATGCTGGAGCAGGCGCAGCGTGGGGTGGGCATGGGGGGCAGGCTCTCCCACTTGTTCTTCTCGGGGTGGAAGGCCTCTGCAGACTCCAGGACGGTTGGCTGATTTCCTGGAAATACAAATCGAGGCACTGGGTCACCTGGGAAGCACTGGCAAGCATCCCATGTCTGCTCTGGGATGGTGTCTGTGCTCTGGACACCCTCCCCTTACAGGGTGTGTTTTCCCTGCTCCCTCAGGCCAGCCAGGGCCAGGATCTCTCCCCTCTGTGATGATAACACATGACTCTCACAGGCTTTTCAAGTGTTACCACCACCTCCAGTGCCTCACCTAGTCCCCCAGCCACAATGACTCTGCCTTTCAGGTAGCCAGCCACAAAATCTGCTCGTCTTTTCTTCAGGTAGAAGGAGCGCTCCATCTTCATCCAGCCACCTGGGAGAGACAGGACAGACCAGGCGTTACGGGAGCACCCATTCCTGGGAAACCATCTGCCTCTCTGACCTCACGCTTGTTTGCAGCGGTGTAGTTTTGCTGCTGCACCTTGGGATAATAAAACCCCATGACACAGGGGTCAGCTTCGTCACCACCAGCTCAGGAGGGAGCTGTTGAACCCAGCTGCCTCAGGACCATGGGTTTCCCCCCCTGCTGACTTGACTTGTTAATCGTGACTGCAGGCCTTCCTCTAGGCTGGGCTCAAGGCACCAGTGGTCTGCTGAGACCTGGCATGAGAGCTCTGTGCTCTGCAAGGACAGCAAAGCCCCAGAGCACAGCCTTTGTGTGCCACCTGCCTGGCTCCTCTGGGGAGGACAGAGCTGGGACAGCCCCCACCTTGCTCCATGTCAAATATGTCCATGGTCCTCATGAACTTGGGCTGCCGGTAGAGCCGGCCCTGCCGCAGGCCCCCGAGGCTGAAGAGTTTGTCTTCTGTGGGCACAAAGCTGGAGAAGGCCCTTTTGTTGGGGATGTTGGGAAACTTAGTCCACGACCTGGTTTCTGTGTCAAAGACCTCGAAGGCGTTGATAGCGTACTTGGACTGCCTTCCACCTGGGGAGAGAGAAAGAAAAGGGTCAACTTGGCTCGTAGCACCAAGCCAACAGCACCAGGAGCTCCTAGGACAGGCTGAGAGCGAGCTGCCAGCTGATGTGACGTCCCCAGGTCAAGGGCCTGCCCAGCCAGGCACCTTCTCACCCTTGTGCTCTCTTTTTAAATGCAGGTCCACAACATGACAACACTTCATTTCTCAACACATCACACCCTCCGCTTCCCTCCATGCCAGCGGCAGTGGGTCGCTGGCGCAGGAAGGTGTTTAGTATGCACCAGTTTAATCAAGACAAATTCACAGCAGAGCAGGGATCAGCGCTCAGGGAGCCTTTGCAATTCAGATGAGTTCAGCGCCGGTGCAATCCAGCAAGCTCCGGCCTCGCTGCTGAGCTCCTGACGGAGCAGGAGAGCCAGAGCAGCTGCTGCTACCACCGCCAACGATGCGTATTATTCTTCCATCCATCAGATGCAGATGAATACAGCTATTCTCAGCTCAGATGCTCAGCGTGCCTTTGAAGGCAGAGCCTGTGCTCGCTACTAGGCCCACAAACCGTTTGCCAGCAGCAAGCAAACTGCAAAATAGATCAAAGAGTCTTTTCTGGTAACCCCCAAAGAAAGCCAGGGCTGTCTGGTGGTTTGAGCAATCGAGACTCCTGCGTTTTGATCCTGATATGCCATTTGGCCACAAGCTAACAGCAACATTTTGCTGCCTTAGTTTCCCTTTCTGTAAGGTAAAACTAATGAAAAATCATCCCCTGCAAAAGGTCCAGCGTTTCTCAGCTACAGCAGGTCCTTCCCCTGCCAAAGGCAGACCCTTTGTGAAGCTGCGTGGTACTGTGCTGATATAAAACGCATAGAAGTATTTTTACTCACCAGTTGAGTCCAAGGGCTTTTAGCAAACAAATTAAGCCAGCCAAGAGCAGCTGTACCCTCGGCTGCCAGCAGCCAGGGATAGGCCTGAGACAGGGGAGGCCACTCACCCAGCAGGGAGCTGCTGCGAGAGCTGCGAGCTCCTGGGGCGTTACAAGGGTGCAGGGGCTCTCGTGGGTGCTTGCTGTGGAGCTGCGAATCCAAACCCACCACCGACCCCACTCAAAACCTACAGCTGCAAGCTTGGTATTTCTGAAGGCATGAGAAAGCAGGCAGGAATGAAGAACATTCCCAAAAGCCTCTTCCAGGGAGGTTTCTCAGTGCTCAGATCAAAGGAGCTGCTGCCTGAGGAGGAGGAAGAGGCAGGACTGCTTCTTACCCAGCACGTAGATCTTGGTGCCTCGCAGGAAGGACGTGGCAGCGTACCTGGGTGTGGGCATGGCCGCCAGCGACACCCAGATGTCCTTCAGCATGTCATAGTGCTGCAGGTAGTTGTGTGGCCGCAGGTCAGATCCCATCCCACCAGCTGCATAGACTCTGTAGTCTGGACACGGTCAAGGAAAAAAAAAAACCAAACAAACCACAAAATTATTATAGAGAAGCATCAGAAATAACCCCCCTGCAAAAAGACACATGCCCTCGTACAACGTGGACCAGAACTGTTCACTCCTACACAAGTCCCTGGGTATGTCCCAAGCTCCTGGTCCCCGCAGCAACACCGATGCTCTTCCTCCAGACCCAGGTGCTGCTGCTCCTCAGCTCAGCTCCTGCCTTGGTCCCCCCCCAAGGTCTGGATCAGGACGGTGACTCTGCGACCTAGACTGAAGGGCTCGGAGCCAAGACAAGGCACTGAGTTTACTTGTTCCTCGCCAAATCTGCATCAGCTATATCCATCTCTGGCTAATGGCACACCTGGCTCTCCAAAATAAAACCCTCCCTGCACAGCACCCACATTATCTCCTTCAACGAGCACTTCACTCCACAGAAAGATTCAGGAGAGCAGCAATAGCAGCCTTGCCCTTGAGGGCAGCCCTACAAGGCAGCTGAAAAAGCAGAGACCAGCCAGCACACTGCAAGGATTTGGGCAGCTATTTCTGTTGCTGGCCCCTCACACCAAGTTGACCCCGCTCTATCAGTCAGGCAAGCTTATAGTCAGACAGAAAAACCATCTCCAAGACGGTAAACATTATTTTTAAACATTCCTTGACAGTAGCTTTTAAACCCACTTAAGCAAACAAACCAAGCAGCTTTCAAAGAAGCTGCCTGGAGATTAGATTCGCAATCCCAGGCACGGTGGGAAGCTGGCTGACCTCAGGCACGCTGCTTGGGAACAGGGCTCCCAGCCCCCGGCTCTTCAAAGCACAACAGAGCTGCTAAAGGAAATCAATGCTCCCCATCTCTACTTAGAAACTAAAAAAAAAATGAGATGGGCTGATAAGGCAGAGCCTCACAGGCATTTAACGAGCCCTGTTTAAGGCAGTGGTTAAGCTTCTGGAGGGGAAGCTATGCAGGAGCCCCCCACAAGGCCAGCCGCTTCCCTTCCCTGTACAATGATTTGAGCCCAGGACCATGAAGCCAACTCTCTCCCGGCTGGTTCTGGGTTTGGACCAGAGATGTCTCTTCAAACCAAAGCTATTCAGCAGCTCCAAGACCTTCACCTCTGGCTCCACAGCTCAGCCGGGTCCTCCCAAGCATGGCTACACTCAGCCAGCAGCATCATTCCTGGTTTTTTCCAGGATCTGCAGCATACAAGGATCAGAATTTGCTACAAAACCCTGGAGAAGTCCGATTTGAGACCCTGGAGCTTGGACCTGTCTGAAATGCTCCTGGGTACCACCACAGCCATGGCCTGCATGGCTCCAGGGCTGACAATACAGAGCAACCCCCAGGTTTATCTGCTTTAGGCCACCTACAGAACACTTGTCTTTAGCAGGTGGGCTACAACAGACACACGGGGCTCAAGTTCTAGGAGCACAGAAAAGGTTTTGGAGAACACATAACCCTGTGCCACTGACCAGAAAACTTTTGTGCCTAAATGCATCGATGCTGACCCCCCTGTCTCACCACCCTGCCCTGGAAGGGTTGAACCCTCCTTGCCTTTTGCTGTCACCGAGATGCCCATGGCTGCCTCTCTCAGCGAGTTCCTCTTCTTCCACTTGCCCTCGTCTATATTGTACATCTCCACTATCTTCAGCGGCATCTGATTCACTCCGACCCCTCCTATCACCATGATCCTCTTGCCCAAGGTGGCCACGGCCACCCCAGCCCGGGCCGTGGGCATGGGGGGCAGCGAGGTCCACTGGTCGGCCTCGGGGGAGTAGACCTCGAAGCAGTCCATGGGGACACCGTTGTCATCGCAGCCCCCGATGGCAAACACCTGCCCGCCAGCTTCCACCAAGGTGGAGTAGACCCTGCAGCTCGGGAGGGGGGCGAGAGTTTTCCACTGGAAGTCTTTGGTACTAGCAAGCTCCATGGTGGCTGGTGGGGTGAGGCAGCATCGGTCCCTGCCCATGGGAGGGGGGCTGGCTACGCTGCAAAACAGAGTAAAGACATGCCAGAGGAAAAACCAAAAAAAAAAAAACAAAAAACAACCCCAACCCAAACAAAAAACAGAGAAACATAAGTGCAAACAGCATCCCCCCCCCCCCCCCC